GCCAGCGGCCTCCCGGGGAGAGTCGGGGGCCCGGCTCGCGCCTTCGCCTCTGCTGCTGCTCGGTGCTGAGCGACAGGTGCCTTGCAGGCGTCCACGGCTATGAGGCCACGTGGGGACACGGACGAGTCCGATTTTGCTGCGTTGTGCTTGGAACACTCAAACCCCGCTTGCGTGGATCCGCCCTGCCTCGGCTGGCCGCCGGTGACTGGCCCTCGGCGCGTCTCGGAAGGGCTCCCCGTCAGTAACTGCCTGGGGTCTGGGGGACAGAGGCTTCGAGTCTAGGAGGCAGGAGTAAGGTGACTGTGCTTTGGAGAAGTGGAATGGTTTTGAATGACTCTTTGTGTTTGGAAAGGGATGTTAAGAAGGGAAAGGGCATCAGTGCAGATTGCCTTGGTCAGCTTCTCCAAGAAGACTTAAAGGAGGGTTTCAGACCTCCGGGAGAGCCGTACAGGCTCCAAGGAGACAGACAGTTAAGATGAAATGAGAGCTCAAGCGCGGCTCACCATGCTTTGCTAGACACTGCTCGTCTGCACATCTTCCGGCAAGGCGGTCCTTGGTGCTGTTGAGCACTTCTGTTTCTTTATATCAGTTTTTTTTTTTGGATCTGATTCTGCCACCTGCCGCGAAACTGCTGTTAAAATTTCCAACTGTGATTTTTTTTGGAGAGGGGAGGTAATTATTATTTATTCATTTATTTATTTTTGGAGGAGGCACTGGGGTTGAACCCAGGACCTTATGCGTGCTAAGCGTGGGCTCCACCCCTGAGCTCCACCCTCCCCAGGACTGTTTGTGGAATCGTCTGTTTCTTTCGTTCTGTCAGTTTTTCCTTTGTGTATTTTGAGGCTCTGTTGTTAGGCAGGTGGTTGTTTATGGTACGTCTTCCTGCTGAATTATCTCTATGAAGAGTCTGCCTTTGGTCATACGCTACCTCCAGAAGTCTATCAATACGACCTCTTCAGCATTCTGGTGTTTGAAGTATGCGTGGCATGGGCTTAACCAGTTACTTTTAAAAACTAGCAGCTTTACTTTAAAAAAATAACAGCTTTATTGAGATACTCACATACCATCAGTTCACCCATTTAACATGTACAATTCAGTGGGTTTTAGTATATTCACAGAGCTGTGCAACCAGTACCACAACAAATTTTAGAACAGTTTTATCATCTCAAAAGAATCCCACATTAGCGGTCACTCCCCAGGTCTTTCCAACACCCCACTCCCATCAGCCCTGGGCAACCACTAATTTGTTTTATGTCTCTATAGATTTGCCTGTTCTGGACATTTCATACAGATGAAATCATCATATACGTGGTCTTTTATTACCGGCTTCTTTCACTTGGCATAATGTTCTCAAGGATCATAAATGTTGTAGCATACATTAGTATTTTATCCAACAATTTTTCTAGTTTTTTTCATTTTTTGTTTGTTTTCTTAAAAAAAAGGCTTTATTTCTTTTTATAGCAGTTGTAGGTTCACAGCAAAATTGAATAGACAATACAGAGAATTCTCATATATTTTTCAACCGACACCCTCCCCCACCATCAACATCCCTCTCCACTGTGGTTAAGTTGGTGAACCTACATTGACATCATTATCACCCAGAGCCCCTAATTTACGGCGGGGTTCACTCTCTGGGTCTTACACTCTGTGGGTTTTGAAAACGTGTGGTGTCGTGTTCCTACCGTTAAGTATCATACAGAGTAGTCGCGTTGCTTTCAATCTCCTGCTCTGTTCATCTCACCCCCCCACCCCTGGCAACCACCCATCTTTTCACTGTCTCTGCAGGTTTACCTCCTCCAGAGTGTCGCGGAGTTAGAATTGCATAGCATGGGGTCTTTTTAGATTGTCTTCTTTCACTTAGTAATGTGCATTTAAAGTTCTTCCATGTCTTTTCATGGTTTGATACATCTTTTCGTGACTTTTTTCAAGGCTGACTAGTATTTCACCCCTTGGATGTACCACAGTTTATCTGTCCACCCGCTGAGGAGCATCTTGGTTCAACAGGTGTTGGCAGTTACGTCCACAGCTGCTGCAAAGATTTGTGTGCAGGTTTCTTGTGGACCGAACTTTTCCTAGTGTCTTCGGAGTTAATATTCTAGCAGCTTCACATGTAATCCAGAGATCCTGCGAATCCTGCGAATGTATGTGTCCATCCCAGGAACTCTCCGTGGGTCCTACTATGATTACATATACTTATGTTGCACATCCAGTGAGACAGTGTTTCGATTTTTTTACTTCAGCTGTTTGTATCTTTTTCTAAGTTTAAAACTCTTTTCTCTCCTTTTACTGAGGTTCACTCTTTGGGGTGCTGTTTATTTCATCCTGGGATGTAAGCTTCCGTCTGGTGTCATTTCTCTTCAGTTAAAGATCTTCCTTTTAGCATTTGGCATTTCTCTTAGAACTGCCCTGCTGGTATTTCTCTTAGTTTGGGATTTTTTAATCCAAAATGTGTTGATTTTATCTTTGCTCATGAAGGATATTTTTGGTGTGTAAAATTATAGCTGGCAGGGTTTTTGGTTGTTGTTTTCAACCATTTAGAGGCAAAGACCTCTAGATCCCATTGTTTCTGATGCAAAGTCGGCAGTCACTTGAATTGTCGGGTCCTCATGTGTGATGTGTTGTTTTTCTTTGGCTGTTTCCAAGATTTTCTCCTTATATTTGGTTTTAATCTGTTTGATTATGATGTATCTCGGTGTAGCTTTAGTGACATTGATCCTAAATGGGGTTTACTGAGTTTCTTGAATCTGTAAATTTGTTTTTCACCGAATTTGGGATCATCTATGCCATGTGTTCTTCAGTCTGTTTTCCTGTCTGATTCTCTCTCTTCCCCTTCCAGGATGTACGCTGGACCATTGGAAAATGTCTCTTTAGTCTCTGAAGTGAACCTTTTAAAAGTTCTCTTTTGTCTGCTCTGAAGTTTGGATGGTTTCTATTCATTTGCCTTTAAGTTCACTAACTGTTTCCTCTGTGATATTCATTCTTTTTTTAACTTTTTTTATTGAGTTCTAGTCATTTTACAGTGTTGTGTCAAATTCCAGTGTAGAGCACAATTTTTCAGTCATACATGAACATACATATGTTCATTGTCACATGTTTTTCACTGTGAGCTGCCACAGGATCCTGTGTGTATTTCCCTGAGCTATACAGTGTAACCTTGTTTATCTATTCTACATTTTGAAATCCCAATCTGTCCCTTCCCACACCCCGCCCCATCGGCAACCACAAGTTTCTATTCTATGTCTATGAGTCTGTTTCTGTTTTGTATTTATGTTCTTTTTTTTTTTTAGATTCTGCACATGAGTGATCTCATATGGTATTTTTCTTTCTCTTTCTGGCTTACTTCACTTAGAATGACATTCTCCAGGGACATCCATGTTGCTGCATGTCATATTCATTCTGCTGTTCATGTGAAATTTAAAATTTTGTATATTGTGGTTTTCAGTTCTCGAATTTCCGTTTAACTCTGTCTTAAGGTTTCTGTTTCTCTGCTTAGTTTTTCTAAATGTGCATTCATTAGGAGAATCTTTTCTTTTACATCCTTGAGTATAGTTGTTCTGGCAGAAGATTTAAATTTTTTTTAATTCTTTTTTTTGATTGAAGTGTAATCGATTTACAATGTTAGTTTCAGGTATACGGCAAAGTGATTCAGTCATATATATACATATATGTTTTTTTTCATATTCTTTTCCAATTACAGCTCATTACAAGAAATTGAACATAATTCCCTGTGTTATATACAGTAGGTCCTTGTTGTTTATCTGTTTCATATATAGTAATGTGTATCTATCTATTAATCCCAAACTCCTGATCTATCCCTCCCCCCACCTTTCCCCATTGGTAACCACAATTTGCTTTCTGTGTCTGTGAGTGTATTTCTGGTTTATAAATAAAATTTGGTGTTTTTTTTAGATTCTACATTTAAGCAACATCATATGATATTTGTCTGTCTCTGACTTACTTCACTTCATATGATAATCTCTAGGTCTATCCATGTTGTAATGCAAAAAAAAAAGGCATTATTTTAGTCTTTTTTATGGCTGAGTAGTATTCCATTGTGTATATATGCCATGTCTTCATCCAGTCATCTGTCGATGGACATTTAGGTTGCTTCCATGTCTTGGCTGTTGTAAATAGTGCTGCTGTGAACATTGGGGTGCATATGTCTTTACAAATTATAGTTTTCTCCAGATATATGCCCAGGAATAGGGTAGCTGGATCATATGGTAAGTGTATTTTTAGTTTTTTAAGGAACCTCTATACTGTCCTCCAATTTACATTCCCACCAACAGTGTAGGAGGGTTCCCTTTTCTACACAGCCTCTTCAGCATTTGTGATTTGAAGACTTTTTAATGATGGCCAGACTGACTGGTGTGAGGTGATACCTCATTGTAGTTTTGATTTGCATTTCTCTGATAATTAGTGACACTGAACATTTTTTCATGTGCCTGTTGCCATCTGGATGTCTTCTTTAGAGAAATGTCTGTTTAGATCTTGTCTGGGAGAGGATTTTAATGCAGCGAATTCCAACATCTCTTCACCTTGAGGTTATTCTCTGGCTGTGGTTTCTTTTGAGAATGGCTTACTCTTTCCTGGTTCTTAATTTTTGTGAATAATTCTGGATTCTGTCCGAGACATTGTGAAGTTGTGTTGCAGAGAATGAAGTTTCTGGTATATTCCTCTGAAGAGTGTTTGTGTTTGTTTTAGTATGCAGCGCAGTTATAGTCAAACTGAAAACTCCGGCTCTTGGCAGCAGCTCAAATCTTATTTCAGTTCTCTTTTTCTCGGCTAAGCTGCTCCAAGGCTGCTCCACTGAACATGCATAGCTCGTGGGTCATCTGGAGATTTGGGTAACATTTACAGAATTTGGGGCTTTCTCTCTCTGGTGCTCTCCTTTTCAGGATTCCTCACTCATTTTTCAGTTGCAGTGGTTGCCTCAAACCCTGCAGGCTATCAGACCTGTTTTTCCTGTTGACGTTTTAGTTGGTCCGCATGGTGTGGGCTGAGCGTCCCTCAGCCTAGAAGCTGTGAGAATGGGGAACGCACCAGTGCCTGCCACTCCCATCCAGAGTCCGCCTGCTCTTCGGTGCTCTCAGGTATCCGTCTTGGGTCATTGTTTTGTGTCTTATCCAGAGTTTACAGTGCTACCCGGGGAAGGCTCAGCATGGGAGGAGCTTATTGGCCTCTGGGATTATATTTTATTTTATTTTATTTTGTTTATTTCATTTTTTTACCAAAGAATTTCTTAGTTTTATTCATAATTTCCCCCCAAAGCTCAGTATGTGTTTTATTGTTTGTATTGTTCCTGTTCATTTTTAGAAATACTGACTTTTTCCTCTCTTTTTTTAAAAACTGAAGTACAGTCAGTTACAATGTGTCAGTTTCTGGTGTAAAGCACAATGTCCCAGTCCTGCATATACAGACATACATTCATTTTCATATTCTTTTTCGTTAAAGGTTGTTACAAGATAGTGAATATAGTTCCCTGTGCTGCACAGAAGAAATTTATTTTTATCTATTTTTATGCATAGCGGTTAACATTTGCAGAAATTCCTGCTTTTCTTACGGTAGAATTTTCTAGCTGAATTCAAGTTAGAAGTTGATACTGCTGCTGAGAGGAAGGTCTTCTCTTTTTGTATACGCAGCGACACATAAAGAGAAAGCTTCTTTTTTGTCAGTGGAACCATATGAGGATGCCCTTGTGTGTGTGTAACTGAATAATTACGTAGACGTGTGATGACCTTTGGGTCTGTAGCTCTAGTCCTGGAACCAAATATATGCATGTGGTTATGAAAATCTTCAGGAACTGGATATATTCAAAGTTCTGAATGAGAAAAAGCTGCATTCGAGGCTACGCTACCCAGCAAGGCTATCCTTTAGCCTAGAGGGAGAGAGAAAGAATGTCACAGACAAGGAAAACCAAAAGGAATTCAGCAATACCAAACCTGTGCAACAGAAATGTCGAAAGGTCCGCTCTAAATAGAAAAGAAGCAGGATGCTACAGCAAGAAGAAAGCCGTAATTGGAAAGGTGACAACTACAGTCAGTTGCGATACAATAAACGTGAGTATGTAAAAGAAGTCATCAAATCATTAAAGCTGAGATGGGGGTAAGAAAATGCAGACTTTTTTCTTTTTTTCATTCTTTTTAGGATGTGTTTGAGCTTATTTGACTATCAGTTTACAGCAAACAGATACAGTAATGGGTTAATATGCTTGGAAAACAGGGTGACCGATAATCAAAAGCATACCTATGGAGTAACAAAACCTGAAAAACCCCAAGATATACAAAAGCAAATTATCAAACCACAGAAAGCTTTAAGAACTGGGAAGATATTGGCCGAAGGGTGCAAGGTTGTTTGCGCTGCTCTCCCCATGGTGTCTTCTCGAGGAGACCCGGACGGCAGGCTTTCTGGGCCAGTTTTAGAGTCTGATGTCCTTACAGGTTTTAGTCTAAATAACTACTTTGGAGGAGGAGCAAATACTATACTAATTGCTAATTAAATGAGACATTGGCTTATTTTTACATTGTTGGGATTGAAAAATCCCTTTGGTAGAAATAATAGCTTCTCAAGCCTCACTGCTGCGGCCCTCGGGGCGCGCGCTGGCAAAGTGAATACACGGTGGAAGTTCTGCAGTCTTGTGTCGCCGGAGAAGAGGGGAGGCAGGCGCGCCTTGGAGGGCTGAAGTTTGGGAAGCTTAGCCACTGTGTATGAAAAGGGGAGAGAAACAAAATCTCTTCTGTGCAGCACAGGGAACCATGTTCAGTATCTTGTAATCACCTTTAATGAAAAAGAACATGAAAACAAATATGTGTGTGTATGTGCACGGCTGGGACGTGGTGCTGTAACCAGACATCGACACACTGTAACTGACTGCACTTCAATTTTAAAAAAGTATAAGTTTTGAAAAACAAGAAAAAGCCATGAAAATAGCAAATGCACAAATGAATCCTAAAAGCTCAGAACTGCTGGAGAATGAAGCTTGATTACTAACCAGCCACCAGCTGTTTATCGCACCAAGACCTGCTTCTCTGGAAGCCGAGGGTCGTCCGTCTTCCCAGACACAGGACACACTGTCCGCAGCGGGACCCTGGCGCTGTTGGTTCTGGAGAGCAGGTCTTACCAGTTTTACGGAAGGCCCTGTGGGGAGCTGGTCCCCGTTCACCCAGCTGCTGGTGAGACCGCAGTCCTCGTGCTGGCCCTGCACACCCAGTGGGTTTCCAGGCCACAGATTAAATTCCCTCCTCACTGTGCATTAGTGAGACGCAAACCCACACCTTCCTCCGTGGTCTCCAGAGGGCTGTGTTGTCCTGCAGAGGCCGGGCCCGCCACGGCCTCGGGGCCAGTAACCTGTTTGAGGGCAGGTTTTCTCCCCCAGTGAAAACAGGGTTGTGCTTCACTTGGTAACAAACTTTCTGCTCATGTTTGTTTTTTTTTTAACATTTTTATTGTGGTGTAGTCCCAGTACAGCAAACTACACGTATTTCACATGTACAATTTGGTGAATGTTGATAGATGTGCACACCCATGAAACCACCACCACGATCCAGACAGCTAGCATTTCCATCCCTCCCCAGGGGATGCAGTCCTGGGACTCCCAGTGTGTCCCTTCCCACGCCTTTACCCCTGGTAACCGTGAGTTTGTTGCCTGTGCCTGCAAGTCTGTTTCTGTTTTGTAAACAAGTTCATTTGTGTCCTTTCTTTTAAATCCACACGTAAGTGCTATCATGTGGCTTTTCTCTTTCTCTGTCTGGCTCACTTCGCTTAGAATGAAGGCCTTCAGTTCCGTCCGTGTTGCTGCAGGAGGCATTGTTTTGTTCTCTTTGTGGCTGAGTTGTGCTCCATTGCATAAACGCACCGCAGCTTCTTCCTCCAGCCGTCTGCCGATGGACACTTGGGCTGTTTCCGTGTCTTGGCTGCTGTGAATGATGCTGCTGTGAACACTGGGGTGCAGGTGTCTTTCTGAGTTGTTTTCTCAGGGTACACGCCCAGGAGTGAGATTGCTCAATCACATGGTAGGTCTATTTTTAGTGTTTTAAGGAACCTCCATACTGTCCTCCGCAGTGGCTGCACCCTTAGGCTCGTATTTTTAATTAAGCTTCACAGCATTAGAGTGGGCGAGAGTCCACTCATCCCAACTTTAAAGGAATGAAGCCACAAGAAGGCACGTGCTCCTCCTTACCTGGAGCCCGGCCCCCCGGGCGGCCCTCAGCTGCGGAGTTGGCTGGGCTTCCAGATGGTTTCGACGTGCAGGCCTCTGTACATGTGTAGGATCCAAGAGAATTAAATAATTCAGCTTAGGTGGGGAGGAAACTGAAGAGGGCCTGGAGCCCTGGGGCGTTCATTATTTATAGCGCCCGCTTGGCTCTGCATGGCCGGGGCACCGGGGTCGGGGGGTGCTGGACGCTGGGGCCTGCTGGGCCGCCCCAGGCCCCACCCCCGTTCCCGGAAGGCGCTTCCAGTGCTTCTCCTCTTCCCAGGGGCCTGTGCAGGGTTCCAGGCACCAGCGTCCTCTGCCGCTGCACCCAGGCCTTAGGGAGTCTGAGCAGAGTCCACAGTCAGTGGGCCAAGGCTCCCTGCTGGGAGGGGCTGGTCGAGGCCTGCCCTTCTCTCCTGGATGTTCTGTGATGTAGGCTGACGGCTCTGCCCAGGAGGGAGGGAGTGGGGAGCTCTCCAGGGACACATTGCTAGACCCAGGACTTGAGCTGCAGGAAGGCCGGGGACCTGGGCACCTGTGTGTGGGCAGTGGCTGGTGTGGTGCGCCCGGCCCTTTGTGACTGCCCCTCCCCCAGCAGCCCAGGAAAGGAGGTGTTTCAGACCCAGTCTGGTAGACGCTGTGACCTGCCCAGAGCCCAGCCTGGCTGTGACCCCACAGTCCTGCAGGGAGGTGTGGGGAGAGGGCACCGATCACTGAGCCCTGAAGGCAGCATTGCCCACGTCTGGGGTCTTTTAGGACTGCCTTTGCCCGGCTCAGGAAGAGTCTGATGCTTTAAAATGTTATTTATTTATTTATTTATTTTTAACAAACCCGTGTGCTGAGGGCGGGCTTTCAGTAGATTGCAGCTGGGTCGGTAGCTGCTCTGGTCGGCTACGTCGGAAGGAATGTTCTCACGGAGGCCTTGGCGGGCCTCCCATGACCCCGGCAGCTGGAAGGTGGCAGTTCTCTGGGCCCCTCGCCCTGCAGTGACGTCCCGCCTGCTCTGCTGGAGTGAGGCCTTTCAGAACCCAAGGCCAGAGCAGACACAGCGCTCACCCCGCTGAGAGGACCGGCTGGAAGGATGCCCGGCCCTCCCTGCCCATCACTCCCAGTTTGCAGGACCACACGGCCCTCCCAGTAGGGAGTGCGGGTTTGGATGGGCCAGAGCTCAGGTCAGCCACCCGCCCCCTGAGCAGGGCGTCTCCCCGCACGGGCTTGTGCCGGCCTCAGGGTCTCACCGGCGAGACGGAGCGCGGACGCAGGACGCAGCCGTGGGGGCGCTGTGCTCCTGGACTCCTGCCTGGAGCCGCTTTGGGGGGGCCTGTGAAACACCCATCTGGGCCACAGTCGGGCCGAGCTCCTGGGGTCCCGTCTCTCCTGCACCGACCCCGTCCAGGGCTGGTGCCTCCGATCGCCCTCACCTCGGCTTCCCCGTCCTCCGAGGATGCCCTGCCCACCTGCCTCCCCTGGGGACGCTGTCTGGTGCCTTCTCACAGTTCCTGTGCCGGATTTGGCTTTAAGGAGGCTTTCTTGGTTTTCGATCTTTAATGTGTTTATCCTCCTCCTTTTCCAAACGCTTCATCAGCTGTGCCAGAAAGTACCCGGGTTGTTTTCCACGTGGTCACACGACGCAGGACCTGCTGGGTGTCCAGTTGTGGCTTAGTGTGGGCTGCACTGGCCCTGCCCAGGGCTGCCCTCCCAGAACAGTGTCCGCTGCTTGCAGGGGCCCAGGCCCCCCCGTCGGTGTCTTCCTGCCTCTTGGCTAACCCCTCCTTTTGCTCAGGGCCCATCTGGTAGCTTCCAGATCAGGTGAAGTGTCTTCCCTCAGGAAGCGAAGGCCTGTTCAGTCTCTGACGCCCAGCCTTGCCGCTGGGGTCATGCCTGGCGCCGTGAGGGCAGGAAGGCTCTTCTTCCTGCGGACACTTTCAGGGCTTGTTTGTGTGTTTGTTCTGAAATTCCATGAGGGTCCATGTGGTGTGGGTGTTTCCGTTCGTGGGCCCTCAGGATGGGCCTTCGCCATCTCTCTGCTGGAGAGAGTCCCGTGTTTCTCCGGTGACCTCCTGCCCCCTGACTGGTTCCCTCTCCTGGAGCTTGGGGATTGATTTTAATTTTTTTTTTTTAAGGAAAGAGAAAATCTGAGTAGAAGTGCCACAGAACAGAGCCAGGCAACTTCGGAAAGCAAGCCCCCAAATTTTGACTTTTTTCTTTAAATTTTTTTCTTATTTTTAAATTTTTAATTGTAAAAAACACATAGTATAAAATATACCCCTGCTTTAAAAGTTTACCCTCAATTGTTTTAAAATATACAGATCAGTGATGCTAACTATATTCACATTGTTGTGTCACAGATCTCCAGGGCTTTTTTTAATTGAAGTGCAGTCAGTTATAATGTGTCCATTTCTGGTGCACAGCATCACGTCCAGTCACGCATATACAGACATATATTCGTTTTCATTAAAGGTTATTATAAGATACTGAATATCGTTCCCTGTGCTGTGCAGAAGAAATTTGTTTTTCATCTATTTTTATACATAGTGGTTACCATTTGCAAATCCCAGATTTATCCCTTCCCAGTCCCTTACCCCCTGGAAACCATGAGTTTGTTCTCTGTGTCTGTGAGTCTGTTTCTCTTTTGTAGAAAAGTTCATTTGGTTTTCTTTAGACTCCACATACAAGAGATACCATACAATATTTTTCTTTCTCTTTCCAGCCCAGTTTACTTAGAATGACAATCTCCAGGTCCATCCATGTTGTGCAAATGGCATTATTTTATTCTTTTTTATGGCTGAGTAGTATTCCATTGTCTAAATAGACCACAACTTCTCTAGCCAGCCATCTATAAATGGACATTTGGGTGGCTTCCATGTCTTGGCTGTTGTGAATAGTGCTGCTGTGAACACTGGGGTACATATACCGTTTTGAATTATATTTTCCTCTGGATAAATGCCCAGGAGTGGGATGGCTGAATCATATGCCAAGTCTGTTTTTAGTTTTTGAGGATTCTCTATACTGTCCTCAACAGTGGCTGCACCAGTTTTCATTCCCACCAGCAGTGCAGGGGGCTCCTGTTTCTCCACAGCCTCTCCGGCATTTATCGTTTGTGTCCCGTAGTCTATCTCGTTTCATGATTGTGATGGTTTTCCTTCATCTCTCTGTGGATGTTGGTTTGTGTGTGTGTGCGTGCAGGCTGTCCCCCCTCCCCTCCCACGTGCACCACCTCCCCCATCGCTGCCTCCAGATTCCAGCAAGGTGGGGGGAGGGGGAGCATCCGAATTCTGAGCCCCACCCAGGCTTCTGCACAACTCCAGAGACCTTCTGTGGTTCTGAGGTGTTCAGCGTGTCTAGCGGCTTGTCACTCTAGCCCCTTCCTGGGACTCTGGGGTCCCAGGGCAGCCACGTGCATCAGCACAACCCCTCCACGGTGGGGTTGCTGGTGTTCGGACCTGAGCCCAGGCCGTGTTTTCCAGGTGAAGGTGCCCTGGCAGTTTTTCCTGACCAGTGTTTCCAGCTGGCTCAGCACCACGGTTTGTCACACGTGTCTTGACTACAGAAAGACCCACACTGTGGGGCGGGAGGAGGCGAGTCCCGTGGGGTGTACGTGATTAGGGGCAGAGCCTCCTTTCTCCCGGTATTTTGAATACATATTTGAAATCAATGGGGAAAGAGTGATTATTAAGTGGTATTAGTGCAAGCGGCTAACCATTTAGGAAAACATTAAGTTTCTATCTAAACCCATATATCAAAATAAATCATAGAGGGATTAAGAGTTATGGTGAAGCCAAGAAGTTTCTTCTGCACAGCACAGGGAACTGTATTCAGCATCCTGTAGTAACCTATAAAGAGAAAGAATATGGAAAGGAATATATGTGTGCATGTGCGTGACTGAAACACAATGCTGCACACCAGAAATTGATGCGTTATAACTGACCGTACTTCAATTTAAAAAAATTTAAAAAGAAAAAAGTTATGGTGGATAAAAAGCAAAACAATAGAGATATTAGAAAGAGAAAAAAAAAAGAGAAAGAAAACATAGCTGGACCTTATCTTGGATGGAGGTTAAGTTACTTGCACTTAGGAAGTAACGAGCCAGCAGATTGTGACTGAAAGGTCTTTTTGCCTAGCCTGTAGAAGGTGACGCCTGTCACCCCACTTTCCTGACCTGGATGGCCCGAGGCGAAGCACCCACTCTCCTGGGACAGTGTCTCAGTTTCTGGGGGTGAGGGAGAGGCGAGGAAAGGTGTGTTTCTGAGTGGCCAGGGACTCAGCTGTGCTTTGGGCAAAGCCAGGTGTGAGCGAGGTGATGGGGACCCTTGTGTGGGGGCAATGGGGACCGACCAGCAGGTTCTCTCAGGAAGGGGCTGGCTTGTCCCTGCTCCTGGGAGGACCCTCGGTGCCCTCCAGCCTTCAGCCCCGCGCCTGAGTCCTGCCCAGTTCTGGAATCGGGGCAGGTGTTTGGGCAGGTGTGCCACGTGTCCAGGGGGTCCCAGGTGGACCCGGTCAGAGAAGAAGCAGGATGTGGACTCACTAAAACATGAACCATGATCTTCGTTCTCTTTATACTTGTCTCTTTTTCTGATGATTCTGTAATACTCTTTTATAGAACAAAGTCATCCTGGTTCTTTGAGCCACTGAAGGAGGACGGGCTCCCTGGGACACATCGCTGGCCTCTCCCTCCAAGGTGGACCTGACTTCCTCCAGCCTCACGTAAACCGAGAGGACCTGGTGCCCTTTCCCACCAGCCAGCCCCTGCCCCGACCTGGGCCACGCTGCCCGGCTCGTCGGGGCTGGGAGAGCGGCAGTAGGAGAGGCCGGCAGCCTGCGATGGGATGGCCCAGGAGGGAGAGGGCCACCACGTGTCGCAGCTCAGGGCCGTCTACAGCAGCTGCGACACCACGGGAACCGGCTTCCTGGACCGGGAGGAGCTGATCCAACTCTGCCAGAAGCTTCATCTGGAGAAGCAACTGCCCGTCCTCCTGCAAACACTTCTTGGAAACGACCACTTTGCCAGGGTGGGTACTGGACTTCATCCTCACAGAGAAAAGCACAGAGAGCATGTGGTTTTCTCCATGGGCCTCTGAGAAGGGCCAGTTGGCTAGAGATGCTCGTCCGAGGAAAGTTAGAGGCAAATGGGACAGTGTTGCTCCTTCTGTGGAACCCTGACGTTAGATTGCTTTGCGGGGAAAAGTAATTAGGTTTATTTATTTAAATTTTTTTACTTTTGGGTGGGTGGGGGAGGTTTATTTATCTAATCTTTTTTTAAGTTTAATGGAGGGACTGGGGACTGAACCCAGGACCTCGTGCATGCTGAGCACATCCTCTACCACTGAGCTACACCCTCCCCACCTAGGCGGTTTTTTTGACGCGTAGTAACTTTCCGAGGTTTTTTTCATTCTGTTTTTCCAGAAAGATGTTTGAGAGATTTCCCTGGGGCTGGAAGGTTGTATGGGCAGTGGCGCGAGGTTCACAAAACACAGGCACCTGTGGGCAGCTCACACGCCGGGTGGGTCAGAGGCAGGCAGTACCTTGAAGGCAGATTGTCTCAGAAAACTGCGCAGCGTGAAATGTGTCTGGCGGCTGGACAGAACGCTGCACGGTGCTGTTGCAGGAGCAGAGGCTCCCTGTGTTCAGAGGTGCCCCGTGAGTTTATCCAGCCCGGAGAGGAAATACACGCTCGGAGAGTTGCTTTTCTCTACGAAATTCGAGGTCGTCTGGAAGGGTGGTCTGGAGCCTGCACCACAACTTGCTTTCTTGATGGAAACGTAGGCAGCACGCCCTAGCTGTCCCTGCTTCTGAAACAAGTCCAGACGTTAACGTGCTGGTTTTAAAAACAGTGCCCGTAATCTTGGGGTTTGTCTTACCTCTGAAGGAAGAGCTCATAAAACTGTTTTCATTTTTTCCCCACAGAACTGGGTAAAACTATTTTCATTCTGAGTGAGAAAAAAATCTAGCATGCAAATATTCCTGAATTGGCTCTTGGGCAAAAATAAATGGGAAAAAATAACCCAGAGCCCCCGCTGCGGGCACTGCGGGAGAGCGTCCAGGCGAGTCCGACCTCTCACTGCCCCAGGCCCGTGTGGCCACTGTCCCTTGTGAGCCCTCCGCCCCCCCCCGTCTTTCCTCTAGTCCTGCTGCTTCTCTGTGGATGTAAGAATCAGATGTGGTGTCTGATTGTTTTGTCGTCGTCGTTTTTAACCAGTCATTTGGGGGGTGTCATTCGGGTTTTATTTAATTTGTTTATTTTAATGGAGGTGCTGAGGGCTGAACCCAGGACCTCGTGCATGGAGCTCCCCCCTCCCCCAGGTCAGATGTGCTTTCACAGACGGTGTTCTAGCCCCACTTGGTATCACCTGGGATTGCTGAGGGCTGGATGAGCAAATCAACACTCTGGTTAAAGGCAGCGTTACCCGAGCTGCTTTCCTTCGTCATTCTTGGCAGTCTGGAAATTCGAAACCGAGAATCACTCTGGGGCTCCAGCAGGCGCTGCTGATGGAGCAACCGTGTCGTTCTCGGTCAGGCTCCACTAGGTGCTTCGTGTGAGCACAAGGGTGTGTGGCCTGGAACTGCTGAGCTGCAAGCTGGCCGACTCTGCTCCATCCACAGAGGCGGAGTTCGCGCAGCCTGCGCGCGGGTGGGACTTTCAGCAGAGGTTTTAGGGGAAGCCAGTGTCGAGCCGGGAATGTCCAGACAGTTGTCACCATATTCCGGTAGACGCCAAACAGTGGAGACTTCGGGAAACTGTGAGCAAGATAAGCCCTTTATCTGAGAGAATGGGTTGGATTTTCAGCTCAAATATCACACAGTCAGTTTCTTTGTGGTACCCAACATACGTGACCACAGGTTCGTCGTTGATACAGCAATCTGGTCATAAACATGAAGAAACAGCATTACAGTATTCGAATTAACAGGGTAACTTTTTTACTGCTCTGAAGGTGTCCTTGTTTTTAATTCCTATTTCCTGTTAACGAAACTTGATATCAAGGTCTGTTTTCACACAGGAAGGTTGATGCGGCCTCAGGCTGTGACCTGTGGGGAAGTTCCGTGCGCGTTTTCTGTCGCGCGCTCTCGCTTCTTTGCTGGGGCTGAGGATCTTACCTCGAGTATGTTTTCTTAATTGAAGTCTAGTCAGTTCACAATGTTGTGTCAGTGTCCGGGGTACAGCAGGGTAGTTCAGTCGTACGTGCACACACGTGTGTTCGTTTTCATGTTCTTTTGCATCATTGGTCACTACAAGATACTGAATGTAGTTCCCTGTGCTGTACAGTGGAAATTTGTTGTTTATCTATTTTATATACAGTAGTTAGTATCTGCAAATTTTATCTCGAAATCCCAGTTTATTCCTTCCCCCCCCTCCCCCCCCGGTAATCATGTTTGTTTTCCATGTCTGTTAGTCTGTTGCTGTTTTTCAGGTGAGTTCATTTGTGTCTTCTTTTTCTGATCCCACATATGAGTGCTATCACATGGTATTTTTCTTTGTCTGGCTGACTTTACTTAGAATGATGATCCCCAGGTCCATCCATGTGGCTGCAAGTGGCGTTGTTTTATGGCTTTTATGGCTGAATAGTGTTCCATCGTGTGTGTGTGTGTATATGTATCGTTAACTTCTCTATTCAGTCATTTGTTGACGGACATTTAGGTGCTTCCATGTCTTGGCTGTTGTAAATGGTGCTGCTGTGAACAGTGGGGTGCATGTATCTTTTTGAATTAACGATCTTCTGGATACAGGCCCAGGAGTGGGATTGCTGGGTCACACGGTAAGTCTATTTTTGCTTTTTCAGGAACCTCCATACTGTCCTCCATAGTGGTTGCACTAAGCTGCATTCCCACCAACAGTGTAGGAAGGTTCCCTTTTCTTACCTCGAGTATTTTAAATTTGGCTAGAAAGGGAGTTTTCCTCTCAGTAAAATACTTGTTAACATAGCGTGACTGAAACTAACTTTAAAGTTGAAAGCGACCCTTGAGCACAGGCTCCCGCCCCTTCGTTTGTGTTGGGTCCCAGACCGTGTGGGACGACGGGCTGCCGTGTTCAGTTGGACACCTGATGCTGTGGGCTGGCTGCGCCCTCAGAGTGAGCTCTGAGGGGAGAGGACGCCAGAACGCCTGCAGGCACAGCCAGAGGGGCCAGGAAAAGCGGCAGCACCTGGGCCGGCAGAGCCCGCCCTGTTTGCTGGGGAGGCGTCACCGGAGACAGAAGAAACCTGGGAGGAGGTCAGGCAGAGGGCCGTGTCGTTCTGCTCCCAGTCGTCAGCAGGTACTTCTGAGCGCCCACGCCGCGCGGGGCAGCACCAGGAAGGCAGGGAGGAGAGCACGGGGTCCGTCTCTGTGAAATGAAGCCTGGGCGAGGTCACGCAATCCAGCGTCGATGCAGCAGGCGGGAGACGGGGAACAGCCTCCTCAGTGTGAGATGCCGTCAGTGCCTTCTTGTGGGGCTGTCTGCTCAGCCCTAGGAAGGAGGGAAGCGGCTTCAGGCGTTGTCTTAGTAGCAGGTCAGCAGACTCAGGCTCGCCTTCCAGGGAGGGCTACGAAAAAGGGCTGAACAAAATAGCAAAACGAACCTTGTGAAAATGGCAAAGCGCAAACAAGTCAGCAGGAACTTAGTCTAAAAAGCCATGCTAAGCCGCATACCGAGGGCCTCAGCACACACAATCCCGCTGCCTTGAGAATATTTTCTCGTCTCATGTAGGAACTGTGAAATTGATACGTGGTCTCGGGGGGCCCAGAGGGCCAGGGGCGCACGTGTGTAAGCCCAGGTCACCGGAGGCAGAGAAACCGAGGAGCCACCTCCCTGTGCAGGGAGGGTCCTGAGGGCGTGTCTGGGGGCGAAGATGCCGAAGCGAGCCATCTGCCTCCTGGGCCGGCGTCCTCTCGGGGCGCGCCCTCGGGCATCTGGCGGAGGCAGACGGAAGCCCCCTCTTGAGGAATTCTTATCACTAGGGCCTGTGATTGCTCCTCAGTGACAGGCAAATACAGCGGCTGAGGGCAGCGAGGCACAGGTGAGTCAGGATGAGCCGGAGCCACAGAAACGACAGGCAGCAGGAGCGGTGGCACCGACATGCGAGGCCATTGGGATTATTGGGCAAAAAATGTGAACCAACTATGGTTGCTGCGTTAGGAGAGATTTTTGAGAAAGCTTGAAAGCATCCATAAGAAAGAGGAAACTCTAAAAAGTGATAAAACAAATCTGAACAGAGAACTGAACACAACTTTAGGAGCTGAACAGATTAGACACAGCTGACGAGCATTCGTGCACCAGGCTCGCCAGTGAGAAGAGTCAGAGAAGTGAAGGCGGAGTGAGGTGGCTGGACGTCCCTTAGTTGGACTCCCAGGAGGAGAGGAGTGAATGGGGGTTTTATGAGGGGGGAGTAGTTAAGAAGCTCCCAGAACAGATTGAAGGTTCCAAGAGCCCGTGGAATTCCAAGTTGCATAAATAAAAAGATACCAACCCCAGCCATATTATTGTGAAATGGAAGGAAAACAGATCATCTTAAAAAGCAGCCGAAGATGGGCGCACAGGCTCTCTCTGGATTTTTTCCTGCAACTGCCTGTGAATCTCATACCAAAGTGAAGCATTTAATAGTTTTAGAAAGCAGCCAGGGACAAAAGGCGTGTCCTGAAAATGGACCGTAGCTGGGTGGACAGCTGGCCCCTCACGTGACAGGCTAGGTGGGCGGCGGCCCCTCATGTGACAGCAGAAGCCAGCCGCCCCGGAAAGGTGCCCCGTGTGCTCGAAGGAGATGCTGCAACCTGCACCCTGTAGGCCATAAGGAAAAGAGAGAAGGCGAATTCTGCTCAGCTTTGGGAGCACACAGAGGCAGGTGCAGCCAACAGTGTTTGCTGAGCACTTACATCGCGGCAGCGGGGAGACGCAGTAGAGGACGTGGGCAGGGCGCGCTCAGCAAGCACGTGAGTGTTGCAGGAGTCGTGCTGAGTCTGAGATGTGTACACACATGTTCCGTGCAGGTCAGACTTAAGAGGTGAGGCTGAACCATCCTGTTGAGGGGTGCATGCAAATGGGGCATAAAGCAGGGATGTTGTCACTGCAGAAGTCAGACTGGGGCAGGGGCTTCACCCGGGAAGGAAGCACGGGGGAGGCCCGTCCGTGCTGGCAGCGCCCTCCTCCGTGGACGGGTGGCGAGGGCCTGGCTGTTTCTTTGTGTTAGTGTTTGTGGTCACCAGGTGCCTCTTCTCTGCACTGTTCTCTAACTGGGTTGCTCTAGGTACTTTTACGGAGGCTTTTGTTTGTTTTTAATTAAAGTAGTCTTTATCACACAATACAGCTAAGTGCCACGTTTTCCTGGCTTTTTTAATTGAAGTGTAGTCAGTCTGCAATGTTGTGTCAGTTTCCGGTGACCAGCAGAGCAGTTCGGCCACGCATACACGTACATACATTCGTTTTCATGCTCTTTTTCATTATAGGTTACTACAGGATGCTGAATATAGCTCCCTGTGCTGCACAGAAGAAACCTGTTGTCTGTCTATCTTATGCATAGTTGTTAGCATCTGCACATCTCAGACTCCCAGTTTAACCCCTCCTGCGCCCTCCCCCCGGTGACGTGAGTTTGTTTTCTGTGTCTGCTTATGGGTCTGTTCTTGTTTTGTAAAAAAGTTTGTCTTTTTTTCAGATTCCACGTGGAAGTGATATCATACGGTTTTTCTCTTTCTCTTTCTGGCTTACTTCTCTTGAAGTGATGATCTCCAGGTCCATCCATGTTGCTGCAGTGGCATTATTGTACTCTTTTTATGGCTGAGTAGTATTCCATTGTATAAATACACCACATCGTTTTTGTCCAGTCATGTCGGTGGACATTCAGGCTGTCTCCATATCTTGGTTGTTGTAAATAGTGCTGCTGTGAACATTGAGGTGTGTGTCTTTTCAAATTAAAGTCACTTTTATGGAGTTTTATTAGCATTTTTGGTGATGGATTTATGGTTCACTTTTACTTTCCTTATTATACCTTCAGTTTTTTTAAATGCTAAGTGAGTATTTGACAAGATGACTGTTTCAGTGCCGAAGGCAACGTAAGATCTTCCCCCGGGGAAAAAGCAGAAGGCCAGAGTGTCACGTCTGTGACCTGCAGAAAGCGGTGTTGACCTCTCTTCTCAAAATCACAGGTTAACTTTGAGGAGTTTAAGGACGGTTTCGTGGCAGTGTTGTCGTCACAGGCTGGTGTCGGCTCCTTGGACGAAGACAGTGGGTCTTTGGAATCAGGTAAGAGGCTTTCCTGGTCTCCTTTTTGGTTCTTCCCGTGATTCATCTGTGATTTCTGGGATTTAAAATCCTCACTGAAGGACAGCAGACCTGTCACTGCCAAGCAGTGTGGGCTGGGACCAGCGTTCAGGTTTTTCTGTCTTTTGCTTCTTTATTTGTAAAATAGTGAGGGGAAGACTCCTGTTTTCCGCGGCCCTGCGTGCAGCCCTCTGAACACACTGGCGCCTCTGGGCACGAGAGACCTGCTAGTTCTTCCCTCCCTGTGCCGTTCTGTGTGCCGGCTGGTGTCCTGCAATTCCGCTCAACTCTGACACCGTCTGCTGGGGACGGCGTCAGACCCCACAGGGCAAGGACTTAGTTCCCGGGACTGCTCCCTCTCAGACGTCAGTCACGAGTGCAGGTGTCGCCTGTGCTTCTGACTGGCGCCTCCTCAGGCTCAGTTCCTTTGCTGGAGCAGCTCACAGGACTCAGGGAGACCTGTTCGCCTCCCGGAACCCTGGTTTATCGCACAAGGACATGACGCAGGGACACTGGATGCAGGGAAGGGGCTCTGGGCTCCCTTGCTCCACAGGCCCCGCTCCTGTCTCCACGATTTCACCAGCCCGGAAGCCCTTGGACAGTCCTTTTTTGGGGTCTTTCGGAGGCGTCATCAAAAGCACTGACTGACCAAATGATTGGCGATCAGTGACTGAATCCCAGCCTCTCCCCTCTCTGCAGGTCAGGGCGGGGCTGAAAGTGTCCCCCCTCTGATCACAAGGGTGGCTCCCCTGGCAGCCAGCCCACCCGGGGGTGTGGCCCCAAAAGGCGCCTGTTAACATAAACTCAGGTGTGGTTGCTCTACTACTTTGGGGATTCCAAGGGTTTTAGGAGCTGTGCCAGGGGAGGAGACCAAATCATGTTTGTTACGTCACAGTGTCACAAACGTCAGCTGACACTGTGTGCTGTAGCAAGGTGGGCATGGGGGCGGTCCCGGCTGTGTGCTGCCCCCCAGCACAGGGTGCTGACCAGATGGGGTGGGCATGGGGGCGGTCCCGGCTGTGTGCTGCCCCCCAGCACAGGGTGCTGACCAGATGGGGTGGGAGTGGGGGTGGTCTCGGCTCCTCGAGTGTCAGGACGCAGAGTGAAGGGTCGCAGGTCCTTCCCTCCCCTCCAGGCAGGCGTGTGAGGAGGGAGCGCTTCCCCTCTGCCCTGCGGGAGGTGCCGGTTGCTCCAGGATCCTGGGCCGATCCTTGGTCTGGAGCCTGTGACGTCTCGGGTACCGGGGATATCGCATGGGAGCTTTGTGTGCCACGCTTGCAGCTTCCTGTGCGTTTCGTGTCAATGCCAGCGAGCCCTCCTAGAAGTCCCATGGGTTATCATACCTGTTACTCAGACACGCACCTGCCCCTACCCCCAGGGCTGAAGTCCGCCTTCCCACCACCTCCTGCTGGAGCCAGTGAGGGCCCTGATGTTGGGGGAGGAGTCAGCCCGCCAGCCGCGCCGGGGGTCTGGGGGTCAGGGATCACTGGTTGCCTACCTCACACTTCTCCTCCTCGAGGTGGGAAGCAGGCCACTTGGGAGACTTGGAGTGTGATCGCGTGGCTGTGGATGTGGGTGTGAACCTGCTGAGAAAGGTCGCACCTGTTCCAGGGCCCCCCACTCCGTGCGGGACGTGTGTGCGTCTGTGGGACGTGTCCTCAGTTCCTCCAAAGACAGGAGAAGCTGTTTTATTCCAGAGATTTTTTTAAAAATTTAAGCATTGTCAGTTTACAGCCTTGTGTCAATTTCTGGTGTACAGTATAGCAGTTCATACGTATACATACATATATTCCTTTTCACATTCTTTTTCGTCATAGATTACTGCAAGATACTGAATATAGATCCCTGTGCTGTATGGTAGAAACTCGATGTTTATCTGTTTTATACATAGTAGTTACTATTTGCCAATCTCGAACTCCCAGTTTATCCTTTCCCTCCTGATAAGCATAAGCTTTTTTTCTGTGTCTGTGAGTCTGTTTCTATTTTGTAAATAAGTTCATTGTGTCTCTTTTTTTAGATTCCACACATGAGTGCTATCATATGGTGTTTTTCCTTCTCCTTCTGGGTTACTTCACTTAGAATGACAATCTCCAGGTCCATCCATGTTAACTAACGCAAATGGCATTACTGTATTCTTTTTTATGGCTGAGTAGTATTCCATTGTGTGTGCGTGTGTGCACGCACACACACACCACATCTTCCTTCTCCAGTCATCTGTCAGTGGCCGTTTAGGTTGTTTCTGTCTCTTGGCTGTTGTAAATACTGCTGCAGAAGAAGCTATTTTAGGACTGGTGCTTTTTCACACTGATTCTGGTTTTGTTCTGTGTTGTTTTTGTCGTCTTTCCGATTCCAGCACTTTCCTCAATCATGTGGTCTCAGGCCCGCTTGGGGCAGGGCTCTCGTGGTTAGAGGCAGGGCACCCGCCAGCCGGGCTGTCTGGGTGGCATTGAGGGACCAGCCATGGCTCCACACTTCCCACGAGGCTGTGGCTCTGTGCTCTGTGGCTGCTGGTCTGACCGGCCACGCTGACACTCACTTCTGGAGAAGCCTTTCTCCCTGTTGGAGCTGGGGAGGTGATGCTTTTGGGGGAATATTCTGAAACAGCCATGTGTTTTCTGTTCATCTGAGAAAAGTGCTGACCAGCTGAAACGATGCAGAAAGGGCCCCCTTGGGGGCGGGTGGGGGAGTCCGGACATGGGCCCGGGGATCCCTGGAGGGGAGGGGAGAGCAGGATCAAGCTGGGTGGGGCGGACACGGGGCTGGTTCACGAGCTCCAGGTGTGCGCCAGCAGCTGAGCCTAGGGGGCCTGCCCACTTCTCTGCACCTGGTTTCCCAAGCGTGCCACTCTGCCCACCCCCCGACAGGACTTTCCTCTTCCTGCACCTCCTGGTGGAAGGAGGGTTCTTCCCCCACGTTAACCAGCCCGCAGCCCCTCTGCACGCAGAAACCGGGACCAGGCGGGGAGCCCGTGTGCTGGCGCCTCCCTCCCCCGTGCGCAGGGTCGCTCAGTCTCCCGCTCCGCTCCCCACCCCGCTGGCAACCTGAGCACTCACACTTCTCCAGCCGTCCCATGAGAGCTTGCAGGGCCAGGCCCATGGTAACCTCCGAGGGTCCTGGGGCCATAGGCCTTCTGCCTTAAGTGGCTGCTGCCCCGTGAGACTCGGCATCTTCTCCCCAAACTCCTCCCTTGTCCCCAGTTTCTGCCGGTCACTGGTCTCACTGTTCTCCGTGTCCGCCTCCTCCGTGATGGCCCCAGGGTCAGGGGCTGTGGAGGAGGGAAGTGAGGTGGTCACTTGGCCGTAGGGGTGCGCCAGTTGTGGGACACAGTCCTCGGTTTTCTTGGCCTGGCCTCACTTCCTGGGGCCCGTCCCTTTCTTCTCCGACCGGCCCATTCTGGTTGCTGCCCTCGGAACCGGAGTCCTGTCCTGGCCCCTGCCCGGGCCGCCCTCCCCAGTCTCTCCGGCCACCCAGATCCCCCACAGAGTCGGCGACATCTCTCCGCCTGCCAGGTCCTGGCCGCTCTGAGCGGATGTGGGCAGGTGAGGAAGAAGGAAGAAGGAAGTGGAAGAGGTTTATTAGGGTTTAAGGGATCCGCATGAATCCCAGACTAAAGCCCCCGCCTGCCTCTGCTCCAGGCTTCGTGAAGACCCACGCGGAGCCTGAGCCTCCCTGGCTGTGCAGAGGTCCCTGCCTGCGGCGTCTGGCCCAGAGGGGTCCTGTCGTGACTGGGCTGGGAAGTGACCGTCTGGGCTCTGGAACAGGATGTTGCTGGATTATTGGAGCGTTTTTTTCTTTGGATAAAAAGCTGGATTTTTGGATTAGTCTTTTATTACATAACAAAAGCAAAATATGGGGGTATCAGTGGTAGAGCGCGTGCATGAGGTCCTGGGTTCAATCCCCAGTGCCTCCATTAAAAAAAAAAAGGCAAAACATACTTGGAACAGTTTGAACAGCACCTAGCATTTAGGACAGAAAGCCCTCCCAGCCTGGCCTTCCCCACCAGCCTGCTGGTGGCCGTTCCCTGCGTCCTGCGCGTGAGAGCCGCACTCAGCACTGGGATCTGCACCCGCGTGCCTGGGCCCAGAGGCTGTTTTTAAGAGCCCCACAGACCTCCCGTTTTCTTCCCAGCTCCCCCCTGTGCTGTCCCACCGAAGTACGTGAGCGGCTCTAAGAGGTACGGCCGTTGGAGTCGGCCCGAGCCCTGCAACCTTGCTGGTAGGGCCAAGTGTGTCCTGGAGCAGCCGGCCAGGCCCAGCGCCAGGAGCCATTTCTGCTGCTCTGCGTCCCTGGAAAGTGTGGAGGTAGGTCCTCCCCCTTCCCCTCTCCATCCCTGCCGAGGCTCCCCAGTGTGGAAATTACATGTCTTAGTCGCTGCTCACCTGCCCCCCTAAAGAGATGCAGGAAGATGGGAGGGGGCAGCTCAGTGCCAGAGGCCCTTTGGGAAACAGGTTCCACTGTGTTCCTGGGTCTCACTGTCTACAGGGAAACTGGCCTCCTTCAGACACAGGGCCGTGAAGATTCCCCTGTTCACCCTGCAGCCTCCCCCGGCACTACCAGGAGGGGAAGGTTAACCAGCCGAGGGTAGAAAAATCTGGTGGTGGGGAGGGTGCAGCTCAGTGGTGGAGCACCTGCTTAGCATGCACGAGGTCCTGGATTCAATCCCAGGACCTCTGTTAAAAAATAAATAAAAATAATAAACCTAGTAACCTCCCCTGCCAAAAACAAAAGAAAACAACAACAAAGGAAAATCCAAAAAAAGAGCAAAGCAGGTGTGCCACGCCCAGGGCCCCTGCCTCCAGTACTTGGAGTGACCCTGGCCCACCCTCTACAACTTGGCCGGCTGGTGCCAGCCGCCCCGGGGGCCCCAGGTTCCCGAGCTGCCCACTGTGGAGGGTCATCGGTGGGGCAGATCCACACCTTATGGGTTAATCGTGGCCCACTGGACCTGTTTTCAGGGTTGCAGAAGGTTCCTGGCTTCCCCCCAACCTGTGGTGTCATCCTTGTCAGATGGGGCTCTCCAGGAACTTACCTTTAATAGGACGGCTCTGGCCCTCAAATTAATTGTTTGTATCTTCAGCGTTCATTGAGGCAAAACAAACAGATGTGTATTTAAATCCTGGAGTCCCTTCTCCCAGGGACCCTCTGCACCTGGGTGACATCAGCAGATCCCTGGCCTTTGCCTCTTTGTTCCCTTTTTAAATTTGGCCCCAAGGATGGGGAGTCTCAGTGCGTCTGTGCCATCTCTGTGGTGCCATTCTGCTTCTTGAATAAACTGGGAATTCGAAAGTTGCACCTCTTGGGGAGAGATGGAAATGCTTCCTGTCTTGGTGGTGGTGGTGGTTGCATGGGTGTGTGCATCTGTCAACATTCATCAGAGTGTACACCTGAAATATGTGCAGCTAACTGCACAGGAGCCACACCACAATAAAGGTGTTAAAAATACGATCTTTGATCCCCAGAACTAGGACCTGGGGGGGTGCTTTTGGGGTTGTCAGCAGGTTGGATGCATTGGAAAAAGGGCATACACACCCTGCCGCAGGTCCCTACCCCCGGTTCAGCGCTGGCTGTAAGTGCTGAGTGCTGGTCAAGCCAGCATTCCTTCCAGAATCAGAAGTGGACTTGAGCTTTGGGGTCCACTGACCAGTCACAGAAACATGGGATTTCACTGGAGTCTTGGCAGCCCAGCCCTTGGGCACAAAGGCCTCAGCTGCTCACCTCCTGTCCCCAGAGCACCTAGGGGTCAGAGACCTGCTCTCTTGCCTGCTGCCGACTGAGATGGGTGTTGAGGGGCTGGCCCGAGAGCCTGTCCTGTGATGGAATTTGGAGCAGACTGGGAGTGTGCGGGGGGAGCACCTGCCTGTGTTCTCACAGAGTTGCTGATGGTTTTGGTTCCTATCAAGGCGTCAGGTGCCCGTGTCCAGGCCGCGGCGTGTGGCCTGGAGACAGACCTGGTCTACGCAGGCCTCAGCTGGGAGCCCTGCGGGCTGGCCTCCTTCCCCAGTCAGCCCCACAGACGGTTCTCCTGGTTCCCGGTGCCCCATCCTCTGGGGACGCACATCCTCTTTCTGTCTTTCTGCAGAGTCTCAAGTCTGATGAAGAAGCCGAAAGTGCGAAGGAGCCTCAGAATGAGGTGTTTGAAGCTCAAGGTGAAGCCTGGCTTTGTGCTCAGTGTCCCCATCTGAACAGTGCTGGGCTCCTGGTCTGGGGTCACCGGCCAGGAAAATTTCCTGGAAAGGGCCCAGTGCGGGCGGGGACCCTGGTGGTCCCTTCTCCTGGGGGGCCCAGTGCCAAGGCCCCTGCAGTCAGACCTTCGGGCGGGGCTGCTGACTAAGAGAGCAGTTTCAGGGTTTGCAGGGACCGGCCAGACCCCAGCTCCTTCCTGATGTGCCGGGCCGAGTGCAGCCCCTCCCTGCCCCACGAGGCCCTGTCTGCACCCTGAGTGGAGTGTGGGACGTGGTTCTGGTCCTGGGAGGTCACTCACCGAGAGATTTTGAGGCTCTCTGCCCAGAGCAGATTGGAGTTCTTCCCATCTAAGTGAGAACTGCCACTCACGTGTCAAACCTCACAGGACTCATTCACCTCCTCTGCCGGCCCTGGGAAGCAAAGCCTGGTCTCAGAAGTGCTTTTCCATTTTTGTGTAGAACTTTGAGACATTCTAAGCTGGAGGGGACCTCGGAGGTGGCCCACCCCCAGCATCGCTCATGAGCGCACGGGCCAGGCCTTCTGTGGGGAGGCGCTTCTGAGCGTTAGTTGGGTTATCAAAGTGACGCCAAGGTAGCTTCCCCACCCAGGGCCCCAGCCCCCAGGCCGAGGGCCCAGTCCGATGGCGTGTGAGTGGCCCTCTTCCATGCTGGGCTGGGCGGCATGGACGGGGCGTGGAGGGAGTCGGCGCCTGCACGGGGAGCTCCTCGTGGGTACTCGTGGGCACCCCGAGGTCTGGCCTCCTCCACAAGGTGCTTCTCTGGCAAAGCTTCAGAAACCTCGGTGAGCCACCCGGCTAAGGTGGACCAGTTGAGACACCTGGCCACCTGTCACCTAGACCCACTGGTGAGTCTTTGCATCCCGAGACCCCTGTGCCTCCTGGTGTGAGGTGGGGTGGAGCGCACAGCCTGCCCGGGGGTGTTGTTGCCGGAAGAAGAGAAAGCAGATAACACTGGGCCCGAGTCCAGACTGGCTTTGACGCTAAAGCTCAGGTTCACAGGAGACTCTAGGGCTGGAGGGCACGAGGGGCAGACTCACAGCGCCTGGGGGCGTCCTGCAGAACAGCTGGTCCAGTTTCTCAGACAGAGCAGGAGAGGTGCTTAAACGACTGGGAGAAATAGTGGCCACGTGTGCAGTGAGGACCCAGACCAGCCCCCGCAGGAAGGCCGGGTGAGGGGTGGGCAGTCACTGCTGATTTGCAGGGGAGATGTAGCTTGGGGTCCACGCTTCTCAGCGGTCGCCCGATAGACACGGGGGCGGCGTGACAGCTGGGGTTTGCTTTCAGACCCTCGGGCAGCACCAGGCCGGGTGGATGGAGCTGGGGCTCCTGGCGGCCCGAGGGGCAGGGCCGCTGGCCTCTGCTGGGCTGTGCTCTTTACTTCGGGTGGGTTTGAAAAGTTTCTGAAAATTAATTTCTAAGGCTGCTCTTTTAAGTCCAACCAGCAGCAGTGCATCTGGTGTGGCTTTCGTAGCTCCCTTCAGAAACCCTCCCCATGCGCTGCAGCTTTCCCCCGTTTCATTGTGCGTGTGTGCGCCCAGCGAGGTTGGAAGAGCTGTGCTGTGAGCGCCGTGTCCCCACCACCTAGATTCCTCCTTTGAAGCTTGACTCTCCCCTGTGTCCATCTGCCCATCCCGTGTCCATCCGTCAGTCTGTCTGATTTCAGGATAAGTTACAGCAGTGGTGTGTTTCCCGTTTCAGGTCAGCTGCCGGCCTGGTGTTCTGAGATCTCCGGGAGTCCCCGAAAGTCTGGCAGCCCCTCCCTCGACACCCCCGAGAGCCGAGTCCGGGACATCTGGGAAGCGCTGGGTGTCGGCCGCAGCGGCCACCTCACCGAGCAGGAGCTGGCCGTGGTCTGCCAGAGCGTCGGCCTCCAGGGACTGGGGAAGGAGGTGAGGGGCTGGACGCCGGCCCTGGAGGGCTGCGTCTTTGTGGTGGTCGTGGTTGATGCTGGGCCAGGGAAACCCCTTCACCCTCAGACACTGATTCACTTGTTACTTTCTGGCCTGAAACCCTGTGATGACTCCCCGGGCTGGTGTCGAAGGCCCGCCTCTGGCCACGTGTGGCCCTGGCCCCCTTCACACAGGACCGTCCTCTGCCTGGAGCATGCCTCCCCTTCCTGCGAGGCCCAGGTCTGCTGCCCAGCCCGGGGTGCTGCCTGCAGAGCCTGGCTGCTCCCTGGCGGCTGTCCTCGCCCTTCCCCCGCAGGGGCCGAGGGAGCAGGGCGGGCAGTGTGGTGGGGCACTGCCCACCTTGTTGACCCTGAACTGCTCCATACGAACCTGTCCGCACCACCCAGGGAGTCCCGGCCTGGCAGAAAGCTCGGGGCCCCTTGCAGTGGGGTGGCAGCTGACCAGGTGTGTGGATGGACAGGCTAGAGCGCGGAGGCCAGGGTGGTCCAGATAGTGTGTCTGGACAGGCCAGCAGGCCGCCTGCTTGGGGAGGGTGGGCCTGGGCGGGGCTGGCGGGGCTGCTGGGGGCGGGGGGCTCTGAGCAGGTGCCTGGGGGCTTTTGCCTAGGAACTTGAGGACCTGTTCAGCAAGCTGGACCGAGACGGGGATGGCAGAGTGAGCCTGGAGGAGTTCCAGCTTGGCCTGTGTGAGCACCGTCCCCCTGCACTTCCGGAATCTTCTTCTCCTGTCAATCTGAGTGGCTCCTGGTCTCGTTACCAGGTAAAACGGGACAGTTAACTCTCGGGCCCCGGAATGGCTGCTGTCATTCTCCAGCCTTCAGCATCTGCCGCTGGCCTGACCCCTCTGCATGGTCAGCACAGCGGGCCCAGGGTCGGCTGGGAAACGTACACACGCGTGTTTGGTGAGAGGCCATGCGGCCTGGGGCTGAGCTGTGTGTCACTGGGGAGCTACTTGCCTTCTCTGAGCCTCAGGCCCCTCATCTGTAAGGTGGCCACCCCTCCTAGGGGTCTAATGAGGCTTCCCGGGCAGCTCCTCGCTGTGTCTCGGTGTGGGGGTCCTTGCGTTCCAGCAGGAGCACCCCTCACCTCCGTGGGGGTGCAGCGAGGGCGGAGTCACTGACGGGTCCGTGCCCCGCGCCCCGGGCCATGTTCCTGAATTTTATCCTGCCCGATGCCAGCTGGAGGAGAGCAGGTTTCGGTGCTCACTACACGTGATTTTGTTCAGTGCGTGTGGTCTTTCTGGGTCCCAGGAGTCAGCCCCCCCTCCCACGGGGACGGTTGCCCTGGGGGTCCTGTGTCTGGAACAGTGACATTGCTGCTCCCTGCTGGGCCGGCGCATTGGAGAATCAGGTTTCAGCGCCTGAAGTCCGTGAGACGGAGGAACCAGAGCCCTGAGGGGAGGTGTCAGGTCATGTGAGGGCAGCCCCGAGTCGCGCCAGAGGCCCGTGGGGCGGCCTCCTCCTGCGTGCAGCGGCCCCTGTTCTGTGTCCAGTTCGGAGGCACCACTGGGGGAGGGGCTGACACCTGCCTGCCCAGGAGGCTGCGCTGTGGCGTCCTGTGCGTGTGGACTCCGGTGTGGCTGCAGGGGGCTCAGAGAGGAAGGGCTGCTGTCCTGGTGTGGCCTCGACAGCAGGCACACGTCTGAAAGGCCCTGTCCTCCCGGGGAGACCCCGCAGGGAGGGTGGCCTCGCCCTGTGGTTCCCGCAGCACCTCGGCCTTGCTGTCAGCTTTCTGGCTGAGGGACTTTTTGCCTTTGTCTTAAAACTGCTTGGAAAGGACACAAATGAACTTATCTACAAAGCAGAAACAGACTCACAGACACAGAACAAACTTACTGTTTCCAGGGGGTAAAGGGTGGGAAGGGACAAATCGGGAGTTTGAAATTCGCAACTCTTGAGGGGGTGGGAATGTGAGCTGTCTTGACTGTGGGTGTTTATATCTCTCAAAATTCATCAGGTTGTACGTCTGAAATATGTATAGTTTACTGTACAGGAACCATACCACGATAAAGTTGCTAAAAAATTAAAACTCCCTGAGACTCAGCCACGAGCCTCATGTTCCTGAACCCCAGGAGATGTGCCCTCCGCTCCGGCCGTCCTGCCCCTTCTGAAGCCCACCTCGGGTTTCTTTCGCAGTCTGGCTTTCCTACGATTCTTGGTCTGCAGGGACAGGTCGGGAGGCTGTGACTGGTTCAGGAGGAGATTAACTCGGGGCCCTGCAGGCACTGGAGCGTCCACTGCATGGCCTCATGTGGCTGGCGCTGAGCCCTGGGCTCGAGGCCGCCACTGCAGAGCCCATGATCCCGGCCGACCATGTGGGTGCCGTGTCCCCTTGAGCAGGAAACAGGGCTGTTCTTGGGCCTCGGTGAGACCGCGCCGGCCAGGCACGGGCGGTGAGGTCTGGGAGGCTGTGAGATGAGGCCCTCGCAAGCTCACAGCGGCTCTGTCCCCATGTGCAGGTCCCAGAGGAGGGCGGCGGCCAGACCACAACGTCGTCCCTGGTGTCCGTGTGCTCCAGCCCGCGCCTGTTCTGCAGCGTGGATGACGGCTCGGGCTTTGCCTCCCCGGAGCAGATTGTCGCCCTGTGGGCCCAGGAGGGGGTTCACAACGGCAGGGAGGTCTTACAGGTGTGGACCGGTCTCCCACGGCTGCCCCAGCAGCGGTATCCAGGCGTGGGGGGCCACTGCCCACAGGGGAGGCTGGACGGAGCTCCCGCAGACACAGGCCGCGTGCAGGGCAGGCCGATCGTGACCCCTTTTTTCTTTATTTTCTGATACTGAAATACAGCGAATCTTAACTAAAACAGAATAAGTAAAAACTAGAGAAAAACCATAGCTTGAAACAAATCCATTTGAAAGTAGGCTCCAGCGTCGCAGGCACTTACCCCGGAGCAGATCTGCACCCCGGAGGAGGGAAGGAAGCCCCCCGGGACCGCGCTGGTCGTGGTCACAGAGGTCTGAGCGCTCCCGCTGGTTAGGGACGGGCCCGAGGGGAGCCGGGCCCTGCCCGGCCCGCTGACCTGTCCGCCCTGCGCTCTCCCAGGCCTCCCGCCGCTGGTCGGGCCCAGGAGGCCTGTGCTCTGCCCGGCCAGTCCTGTCCCCAGGGCTTTGGAGGGGCCTCCGCTCAGCTGGCAAGTCAGGTGTCCGCGGGGCGGGCGCAGCAAGGGAGGGGCGCTAGGACCTGTGTGGCGAGCTGGGCAGGTCAGCTGAGTTCCCAATTTCACTTCCTGCTGTGAACAAAAGCCTAGAAACTGTAAGCTAAGCGAGAGAGCCTGCCTCCCTCGCTCCCAGGTTCCGGGGTGGGGGCGGCTGAGGGCCTGGTGGATGTCCTGAGGGCTCTTCCCAGCACAGAAGGAAGCGTGTGCTTAGAAGTTCTCGTTCCGGGAGCTTCTGCACAGTTAGGGTCGCACTGTGTCCCTCTGTTGCTCTCATGCTGTCAAAGAACAGTTCCTTCTCTTTAGCCACTTGGAATTTCCTATTGCTCAGGGTTTGATTCTATTTAACTGAGAGGCAGCGATGTCACTGGACCTCCTCAGCACCCCAGGGCCAGGAAAGGCCCCCAGCGTGTGACTGTATGTGCCCCTCACGCAGCCCCAAGTGTCTGTCCCCCGACATGGAGGGTGGCTCCCTGGTCCGGGTGCCCCAGCACAGCAGGTCCGTTACTGCTCACCTGTGACACTGATTGAACTGTGGGCCACCAGCAGCACACCTGCCTGAAAGAGGCCTGTCCCTCGGGTCGGAAGCCCTCGGCCTGGACGTGACCTCTCCCGGGTGCCCGGGGGAGCGCAGCCCTGACCCTCCTCAACACAGCATGCTGATTGTGCCATAGACACCCGCGGCGTTTCTGTCTCACGCATTTTCTGTGGGTCAGGAGTTGGGTGGTCCTCGCCCAGGGTCTCCAGGAGCCCACCCTGCGGTCTTGCAGAGGCCTGACGGATGGGGCGGGGGTCTCGCTGTGGGCACGTGCCACCCAGCCAGGGCTGGATGAGCCCCTCCCAGCCGGCACTGGCCTCCCCGGAGCCCTGTCCAGGAGGCCAAGGGGGACTCCTGCCTCCCACACCACTGCCTATCACTGTCCTGGGGGTTTTGCAGGCCTGTGCTGGTCACACACGGATGTGACTGCCGGGACGCGCGGGGCCTTTCTTGATCGGGACGCTGCTGCAGGGACCTGTTTCTGCCTGGAGGCCTCGCTGCTGGAAAGGCAGCCCTTGCATTATGGCTTCAGCGTCTGGGTTGCTCCACGTGCTTCAGGGACATGGGGAACGTGGAGATTCAAGTCTCCTCCTCACAAGCTAAAGGAAGGTCACCCCGTTCTTTCCCTCCTGTGCGCCCGCCCCGCCGTGTGTCTGTGACTCCTGGCCGCGAGCACCCGTCCCTGAAGAGCAGGCGTGGCCAAAGTGTTCTCCGGGGGGCCCCCGGGGGGCAGCGCTCCCGTGTCCTCCTCTCTTCCTTACTGTGGTGAAGTCCATGTGACACGGTTTTTCTGTTCTCTCAACTCTTCCGAATCCCGGGGTGGGGCAGTGCCGCTCTCTGGAGGCTGGGTGGTGCTCAGCTGGTAGGTCGTGTTCCACAGACAGAGCCGGTCCGTTCTGTGACTGTGCGTGTAGTTCGGAGACATGTTGGTCAGGAGTCTTTGTGTCCGGAATGCCACAAACCCAACTCCAGTGGGCAGAGGGAAGGACATTAGGGGCTCACCTGCGTGGTCAGTCCGAGGAGGAGGACGTTGGTCTCAGGGACCCTCCTCCAGCCCCCACACCAGTGTCCAGAGGCCTCTGCTTGGGACATGCGCCTTCTGTGTCTGTCACTTTGTCCAGGGACGGGGGCTGTGTCCAGCCTGGGTCACGCCCACCCTGAGAGTTGGCAGGGACAGAGAGGACCCCCGTGTGGACGGTCGGGAGAAGGGCTACGCCCGGGAGGCAGAGACTTTGCAGACAGGAAAGGGCAGGCCTGGGACAGTGTGGACCGGTCCTGACTGTCCTTAGGGAGCCCGGAAGGGTCTACACCCGCCTACCCCATGGGCCTTGCTGTTTCCAGAGCCTCGACTTCAGTGTGGACGAGAAGGTGAACCTTTTGGAGCTGACGTGGGCCCTGGAGAACGAGCTCATGATGGTGGATGGAGCCGCTCAGCAGGCGGCCTTGGCCTGTTACCGCCAGGAGCTGAGCTTCTGCCAGTAAGAGCCCCAGGTGGGGGTGTGGGGTGCCGCTGGCCAGGCCGGCCTCCTTGCCCACCCCAAAGGGCCAGTCCCGGGGCGGGGGCCCTGTGCCCTTTCCCGCCTGCTCTCCTGTAGGCGGCTCTCGCGGTGGGGCCGCCCACTGGGCCAGTCCCGTGGCTGCTGATCAGTTTGTGGCCACAGAACTTGGGGGTCACCAGCCAACCCCCAGACTTGGTGAGAAACTTAGAAATCCCATCAGGGTCCTTTCTGAGTCCCTTCTCACAAAGTTCCAAGGGGAGGGGTTTGCATTGGACAGTAACCTTCTGCCTGGTGCCGCCCCGCCTGCAGGGAAGCCGTCCCGGTGGCTGGGCTCCCGGGTGGGTGGCTGGCCAGGAAGGAGCGGGTGCTTCCGTGCGGCCACTGGGCCGAGTACACGTTCCGTGTTCTTTGGGTTTGGCTCTGGTTGAGCTGACTGTTCAGGCCGTCGTCTGCTCAGCAGATTGGCATAATGTTTGGTTTTGTGCTTTATTGATGTCCCGAAGTTACAGGAACGCTTGGCGGAAAAGCGCAGTCCCCACCCCCAGGGTTTTGGGTCTCGTTAGGTGCCGCCAGATGAGCGTCCTGAGGGCAGCAGCCCTGCACACGTGGGGAGAAATACTGTGCCCAGGGTGGGGGCGTAGCTCAGTGCATCTTCAGAGGGAGAAGTAGCCACCAGAGAAGCTGGTGCCAGAGATGGTTTGCACGGAGCTCGAGTGGGGTCCTGCGTGACCAGACAGGGCCAGGGACACCCCAGGAATCGCTTCTGCTCCAGGTGGCCCCCCTGCCACGCACCTGGATGCCAGGCTGCAGGTGGCAGGGCAGTGGCCAGGCAGGATCATGGCTGGCCAGCCCTGTCCCCTGAAGGCAGCCAGTCCCTGTTCTGTGCTGAGGGTCCCTGGGGCC